TAAACATGGTAATCGAACAGGCTATGTGATCTGAGGCCCCTGTGTCTATTATCCACAGGTTGTAATCACAGGTTTGATCTAGGTGAGAAGAAAAGGTGACATGTTTACATGAGTAGTTAGGGAATGGTGTAGGATGTTGTGTGGCTGTAAAGGCTTGGTGGTTGATGGATGGGGAGGTAGGTGAGGATGGGTATGCATTAGTACCAATTTGCAGCAGGTTCCTGAGACGAGCCATTTCCTCTGCAGTAAAAGCAAATGGAGTATGGTTCATACCTTCAGTAGTTGTATTACCTTCAGGATGATGATCACCAGCTGCACTTCCAGTACCCTGAGCAACAGAACCAGCAAATATTGGAGTACTAGAACTGGAACTCGAACTGGAGTTTGAATGCCCATCTTTCTGTTGTTCTCCCTGCTTCTTCTTCAGCCACCAGCACTCATCAATGTTGTGATTTGTTCGTTTGCAGTAACGGCAATACTTCTTACCCTGATTAGTTTCTGCAGAACCCCTCTGTTGTTGTTGACTTCCTGCAGCTAGAGCCAATGACTGGTTCTGCTTTCCACCACCAGTCACTGCATCTGCCTTCAATTTATGTTCATGCTGGAGCAGGTCATCAACCGCTTCAGAGACACTAGGTAGGGGCTTTTGCATCAACAACTGGGCTTTGATGACTTCAAATTCTGGATTGATTCCTCTCAGAAAGCGAATCAAATAATCTGTCTCTTGCTTTTGGACAAAAGCAGCTACTGCAGCACAGGGAATGGTCGAACCTGGAGCACAAGCACATGGAACCACAGGACAAAATTCGACATACTCATCCCATAATCCCTTTATCTCTGTGTAATACTGATTAATTGACTTAGTTCCCTGTTTACAAGCCAAGATCTCATCCTCCAGGTTAGCAATTCTCATGCCATTTGGTTGTCCAAAACGCCTCTTCAGTTCTTCCCAAAGTGTCTTGCAATTACTGTGATTCAGCACTGCCCTTCGCAGTTCTTTGGTCATGGAGTTTTGGATCCAGCATAGGACTACTGTATTACAAGCATCCCAAATGCCAAACATATCTGAATCCCTAGAAGGCATTGCAACTGACCCATCTAGAAAACCCAGTTTGTTCTTTGTTATAAGTACCACTTTCATAGATCTACTCCACATTGTGTAGTTTGTACCATCAAACAGCTCAGCAACCAGAGATTGAGCCATATTTTCATTTGGATTGAGATAGAATGGGTTACCAAACGTGATGACCTCCGTTTGCTGCTGTTGTTGTTGACCAAAGGAGCCAAACTGAACTCCACTGAGAGTAGAAGCACTACTGTTGTTGTTGCCTCTTCCTTGACTGCCAGGCGGGGGAGTCGACTGATCACCCGACATTGTTGCTGCGCAGACTCAAACCCTAGGGTCTGGGTTGCTCTGATACCATGTAGAAATTGTAAAGAAGAAAGGAATTTGGAGGAAAAGCTCAGCTGTATTCTGAGCTCTCTGTAGCTTTCATAGCTACTTTGGCAATTAACAGAAAAGTGTAACGTGTCCTTACAATATTGGTTCTTAATTTAAACAAACAGTAAATTAACGGCTAATTCAACAAGACTAAAACGCTGTCGTTCCCTTTAGTTCTTCAACATCATTCTTCTCCTTTCTTCTGTAACGACGCCGTCTTCATTCATCACAATCCGCAGCTAGTGAGGATTGCTACATTCTGCATTTCTTCTCTGTCACCCCCCTTTTGTTGAACAGGGAGAAAAGGAAGCGACGAAAAGGGTTTCTTCGGTTTGCAACTGGGTTTTGAGTTTCGAATAGGGAAAAAGGGAGGGGAAGGGATTTTTTTGACAAGAACCTGTAAACATATTATTAATCAGGCGAAGCTGTAACCATATTGTGTTGTAGTTGATTAACAATTACCATCGGCGGTCTATCGAACCAAACCTCCCTTTCATTCCAACGAGTCTTCACGTGTGCCTTGAGATGAGCCGCTTCATTAGTGTCCCTGCTAAGGTGCTTCCAAGTTCCATTCCCTGTCCCTTTGAGATAGCGACTAATGCTGCGACAGATGACTCCTGCCTCATCTTGAACCATATCCGGGTTGTTCATCTTATGGATCAGAATCATGCAGTCAGACTCGAGGACGGCGTTTTGAAAATGGAGTTGGAAAGCCAACTGAGCCCCGAATTCCGCCGCCAAAGCCTCCGCTGCTTTTGGTTCCCAGGTGCCACGAACTTGTTTCGCAGCTGCCACAAGAAAAGCTCCTGTCGAGTCCCTAATGACCACACCCAAACCTGCTCCTCCTTGCTCCAAAATACCAGCATCAGTACAGACTGAGACACACCCCCTCTGCCGGCTTTATCCAGTTGGTCCGCCCTTGTCGAGGACTTGGCAAAGAATCCGATTGTTGATGAAGCTTGTAGTCGGCCAGCAGGGACTTTGCTCGTTCCGGGATCTCCTCTTCGGATGTCTTAGCCCCATTAAACATGGGCATAAAATGAATTACCAAGAGAAAAAAAATCCACCGCCTCCGCCTCAAACATAGTATAACGAGGAGGGGCGTTACGTCGTTCGTAAAGAACGCATGGAAACTTTTGCTTCATAAGCATGTCATTCTAGCTTAAGAACGTAGGGCAACATACCAACCACTAATCAACACCGTCTTTGCGCAACATCTCGAAGATCTTCGTGAGACAATCGAAGCCTTACGCGCACACATCTTGCGGTTGAATCATCTAAAATGTGCATTCGACGCCGAGATAGGCAATTCCCTAGGTTCATTATCACCAAACGCAGCATAGAGTAGGGGTGGGCATTCGGTCGGTTCGGTTCAAACCGAACCGAAATAATGTATACCGGGTTTCCGAGTTCCATCAAACCTCAAACCGAATTCGAACCGAATTATAATTCGGTTCGGTCGGTTCAAACCGAATTATAATTCGGTTCGGTTCGGTTTTGTATGAAAAACCGAACTTGTGAGGTTAGCTTGTATTTTTTCTCTTTTAAATTATTTTTCACCTCTAATGTAAACAATAAATATGCAATTAAATGCATCATCAATGATAAAATCAAATATTTCAACACATAAGTCATAAAACACTAACATAATTCAAATATTTAAGTCTCATAATAAGTACAAACATAAAAATCCACCATTTGGAACTTGCAATTATAGTAATTCGGAAAATCGGTTCGGAATTCGGAAATTCGGTTCGGTCGAAAGGATCTTGGTTTCCGAAATATACCCTTTTCTCTTCCGAATTCCGAACCGAATTAATGTTATTCGGTTTCGGTTCGGTTTGAATTCGGTTCGGTTCGGTTAGGTTCGGTTTTACCGAACCCTATGTCCACCCCTAGCATAGAGGTCCATCCAAAGAAGATAGATACCATGCATTAACTAAAGGTACCTCAAAATATCGCTGAGGTTCAAGCACTGGCGGGGAAGATGGGCAGATGGCAGCCTTAGGAAGGTTCATTTCACGACCAGCTGACAAATGTGCGCCATTTTTTCAAACACTCAAGACTAGAGTCAAATTCAAGCGGACAGCCGAGTGTCAAGCAATGTTCAGCTAATTGAAAATTCACCTTGTATCACCTCCCGTTTTAACCTCCCCCAAACTTAATAATGAAAATCAATTCTTGTATATTATCATGTCATGCCAAACAGTGAGCACAGTTCTGGTATCCCAAAAATGATAATACACAAAACCCGGTATGTTACACGTCATGCACACAGCATGCTTAGTGGCCCCAAAAAAAGATACTCCACAATTGAGAAAGCTCCACTCACGCTCGTCAGCGACTCCCATAAGTTGCACCCATACTTCCAATCGCACCTTATAACCATCCTCACCAACCTACCACTCAAACGAATTTTGAGCACCATGGATGTATCCCGCAGACTCGTCAAGTGGGCGCTTGAGCTGTCAATGTTGACGAGGCGACAAGTAAACATGAGGATGGGATGGGATGCTAACCATCTATTAAGTTAGCACAGTAATAACCAATCCAATCTCAGTCCTTTTATTTTTCTGTCAATCCAAAGGTGATTTTGTTAAAAGGGCATTTTGGGTATGCGCACAGGTGATCCAGCCTTCGGCATGCAAGATTTGGGGATAAACCCAACCGTCCTTTACATTCGTTCTTTTATTTTTGCCCTTTTTCCTCTCTAGCTGTCTCTCTCTCTCTCTTTTTCTCTAGCAGAGCAATCCATCAAAATTGCATCTCTGTTGGCTTCCCCCTCTCCATCAGCTTCCCCCACTCCTCCTCCGCCCTCCCCACCATCATAGTCTTACTTGCTTCCCTTGCCTGCATCGTCGTTGTCTGCATCGACCTCGCCTGCCCCGCCATCATCGGCACTAGCATGGCCTCCGCCATCCTCTCCTGCGTCGCCATCGTTTGCTTCAACCTCGCCCGAAAAGGAATCTATTGATTCTCTCCCAATTGGTTAATTGGTTGGACCGTAGGTGCGATGATTTACTTCACGGGCGAGGTCTCTGGTTCAAGTCCAGGATGGCCCAGCTGGGCCAAAGAAAAGAATAGAAGAAGCATCTGACTCCTTCATGCATGTTCCACTTGGCTCGGGGGGATATAGCTCAGTTGGTAGAGCTCCGCTCTTGCAATAAAGGAGCCGAATGAAAGGGTATAATCGGCAATTTGACAGCAAAAGCAATAAGAAATACAATATATAATAATATTTCCAGAGCCGGAGGATATGATTGATTGGCTGATGTTTCATAATTAAATGTTGGCTGATAGGAACCATATAAAACGATACCCAAAGCTCCTATTAATAAAAAAAATGGAACTTCCTGCAGTATATAAAATAAACTTTGGAAATCTGATTCAAATCCAATATAGCACCTATGGGTACATAAGAAATGTATTGAATCAATTCTTGTTAATGAATAGATCCGATTGCAACTTCGAATATGGAATTGAAAGGGATCAAATAGGAAATGATACTCTGAATCATAGAACTATAATGAAATATACGATCAACCAACATTTATCAAATTTAAACGAAGACGATGCGCTGGAGATGTGGTTCGATTCCGTAGAGACCCCGAGATCCATCAATCGCCGCCGCAACGAAGTCGATTTCCGCCCACAACGGCGCAGAGTCGTCAGCGTCTCTTTCCCCGATTCCGCCTGCAACGGCGTCGATTTCCACCCGTAACGGCGCCGACCTTGCCTGCGTTGGCTTCCCACCACCATTGCCGTCAATTGCTCGTGGATAGCATGCTTTGAGAAAGAACGAGGATTTTTTCCAGATCTATATTATTATTTGATTAGTATTGATTTTGGGTTAGTAGTGATTGTGGTGTATTGTTTTTCATATGTATTAGTAGTTATTGACTTATTGTTATTGTAATCAACAGTTGAGCCGTGATATTTGTAAAGTATTAGTAGTGTTTTGTATATTAGTAGTAATATTTGTTCTTTGTAGTAATTTTTTCATTAAGAAGTATTATTCTTTCCAAATATAATCAACTTTTTCTATTTAAAAAACACTACTAAAAACAACGAAATCACTACGAAATTATTATAAAATCAATACAACATCTAAGCTAAATCACTACTAATTCAAACTAGTAGTAGGTTTTTCCCTAGTATTTTTTTCATGTTAAAGTTCTTTACGAAGGAGGAGAGATAATTAAATTTAATTTATTTATCAAATTTAATTTTACTAAATACCAATAAAGCCCTCCATTGCTCCTTGGTTAGACCGGTGCTAACTCTTTTATACAATTAGCACGGTAACTCCTCCGGTAAACATGGCATTTTCATGCACAGTAACCCTGCAAATTATTGTGTTTTAAAAATTATGAACCACTATCGCTAAGAGGGCAATTTCATCATGTGCGGTAACCCCGCAAAGTAAGCATGTTTTAACGATGAAACAGTACCGCTAAGAGGGCATTTTCATGCGTGGTAAGTGGTAAACTCAGCAAAATCACGCGTTCACGGTAAATATACGCGCACCAACAACCAAACAAATAACAACATCAATAAACGCACATATAATTGGAGAAAGAAACCAATATAGCTATATTAACGGCAAGCCGAACAAACGAGCGGACAAGGAGCGCCATAACAACAAATAAAAACAGATATTATACTTCTATGATATCTTCTTCTCCCGCCCCCAACATTCCCCTCGCGAGCATCATCAGTCTCGATCTCACTATCATCCACAAGCGAAGCGAGTGCCCCTCGGCGAAGAATCGTTAAACATGTCTAATCATCACGGGGGTATTCCAGCGCATCTTGGGCTTCTTACCTTCTTAAGCATTGCAATGATTGTCTTGGACTTGCAGTCAACCAGAAGTTTGGTAAAGGCCTCAGACGCACCGCGCGCACAGCTTCGTCTTTCTCCACACCTAACTCATCGCAGAGGCGAACAATCTCCTCCTCATGCTTAGCCTCACGACGCTTGCACTCTGCATCGATTTTCACATTTCCGCTGCCCAAACTTCTTGCCTGACTAGACTACTTAGTGGACCGCCCTCTTCTCCGCCTCCAAACCAGCCAAAAACTTGCTCCCCAACTCACCCACCTTAATCAAAGTGTCATCACACTTCTTGAAAGCCTTTGCATAACGTCGTTGCGCTCCTCCATGTTTTCTCTCAAGTTTGGAAACTTGACTCTTCTCCAAGCCAAGTTGAGCAGTAAGCTCACTACGCTTCTTCTGTGCGGAAAGTAGCCAACAATCCCTAGGACATAGCAAACAACAAAGGAACTAGAAACCGCGCAGAGACACGAAAAGGGGGCAAGAGAAAGAGGCACTACCGTGAATAATGTCTGACAGATTACCAAGAGGATCGCTTTTGAGTTTTGTCCATGCGTGTTGGAACGATAAGAGCGGAGCCGACGACCTTCAAAGCGCTTAACGTGGTGGCTACCGACTTCTTGACACCAGCATGCAGCCCCACGTTCCGTAAGTGAGTTGGGACAACGTCATTAAACGTGGTCATACATGGCAATGTTTGCTGACTAACAATTTCCAAAGCCGCTGCCACTCCCTGCACCAACATTCTTGACTGCCTTGGCTGGCTTCAACTTTCCACCCTTCCGGAACCAGCATCCATCCACGCGACTTTCCCTTTGTCGCCAGAGCCACCCTCTTCTTCTGAGAGTCGCAGGAAGCATTCTTTGGCTTGGGCACATCAACCGCCGTCATCATGCTGGCAATAGTTGAGTAGTCCAACCCTGCAACAGAACCACATAAGGGCACCATTAATACGACGGGATATAAACACATAGAAAAGATCAACTAACCACCACCATACAACTCCTAACAAGCCCCGCAAACTCTCTTCTTGTAAAGGTTGATCTTCTCCTTCAAACGTGCCTCGTAGTGATCATATATGCTTTCATACGCACCTGTCTTCTACTCCAACCTCCTAATATCACCTGTGACCAAGGTGATTGAATTTCGGCAAAATCCGTTGACCAAGACGATCACGACGCTGTACCGTCATGCCCTAGGACTTCTTGGGCACCTTCATCTTGTAAAAGAGGCAGAACAAACCATAAGACATGTGGATGTTCAGCCCCTTGCAAGCTAGTCGAAACATACAAGTATGGAGAATCACCAAAGGACTGAAGCGAGCGAGCGAACACTTAAAAACGCGTACAAGGCGGCACAGCAAAGGTTCAAGGGGAAACTTCAGCCCCATACGCCAATACTCGGTGTATACACCGAAACATCCGTCGGAACAATTCCTTATTCGACTCCGCTCGCTGGGCACCGTGTACTGCCAAGACGGCAGAAGCCCTAGGCTGCGGACATACATCTCCATGTCACCCCTACCCAGCTCCGACGCGTAATCTGGCCCGCGTATTAGATTATTGCTGGGAACACTGGCCGGAGAGAACATATCAGCCCAATCTATCATGGAGGTACAAGGCACATATCAAGGACCGAACAGAAGCAACAACAGAGGTGAAAGCAAATGCTACCCAAAAGAAAAAGAGGTAAAAGCAAATGGAACAGACCTCCCTCGGGATGCTTCAAGGTAAATGTGGATGCTGGAATTAATAATAGAGGACACTCTGGCCTGAGTTGTAATATCTGAGATGATCGAGGAATGAAAGTGCTTGCTGCTGCGAAAAGCTAAGAAATAAGGTGGGCAGCAGAAGTTGCAGAAGGAGCGATGCTTTTTCGGAATCCAAAAGGCTTTGGAAAAAGGTATAAACCCATGATTATTGAGCCATCCTGCAAGAAGTTAGTAGAAAGAACCAGAGAACAAGAGGAATTCAGACGTAAAGATGGAAGCATTGGCAGTGACATCAAGGAACTGGGATGATCGGTTATGGTGAGAGAAAGGATGTTTACCTCTAGAGAATCAAATTGTGTTGCCCATTTACATGCTCATTTTCCTTTGAATAATGATAGTGAAGTCTGTTGGGAGAATTCTATGCCCATGTATTTTGCTGATGTTGTACCCCTTAGGGTAGCACAAACTATCAGTCCATATATATGCTAAAATTCAAATGCAGCCAAGGGGTTAGGAAAACATCAAAGAATTCGTTAAGGAAATTTCACTTATTTAAAGAAGGCGAATGCTTTTAATCTAATTCTTCATGTTATCTACTGCAAACATGAATACAAGTGGATTAAAATTAACTCCGACAAACACATGGAATCCAACCAAGTCCAGAAGTACATTCTGAAGAGCAGTACATCAGCATCAATCTCAGGATTCAGTCCTAACCGTGGATGTCACCAATATTGTAAACCAAGAAGAAAACGAACTGAAGGCATAACCTTATTCCAACTCCCACACATGGAACGGATAGAAATGGGGAGCAGAGCACAGCACAGCACAGCACAGCACAGCACAAATATGTCTTGGTAGCCGGCTAGGTAGGACGAATCCAAACAGAGAAATGTGAGCAAAGAGAGTAGAGCTTCTTATAGAAAGGAGCCCTAGTAGACAGCAGGCGCGGTGTCGGGTATTTGGAAAAAGCTTCGAAAGCACCATTAGTTCCAAAGGTGGAATCTTTAGCAGGACGAGGGAGGTTGTATGATCCCAAAGCATAAAATGATGTCTTGTTGGTGGAGCACTGGAACCGCACAAAATCAACATCTTCGTCTCGTGTTGAAGGCCTCCACCCTCCAGTATCGAAATCAAATATTACACAGTTGCGACACAGGCCATCTTTGACAACAAGCTTTCCATCGAACTCGAACATGCCCCCCGCGGGCCAGCGCCAGCTAGGGGTGCGAGGCTCTACTGGTCGAGGAACAAGCCAACGCCAGAGTCTTGTCGAGAGATCAAATCCCCCCAACACTAAATCCTGGAAAAGGCAGTAGAAAGTCCCTTTCAAGTACACCACCGACTGCAAGCTGAGCTCGGTTTCAAAGGCGGGGTTGAAGATGGCTTCTGGTTCCATAGTCCAATTACAATAACTACTAGTAGTTGCCACATCAGCTTCGTCGAGTACCACTGCCTGGCACGTGCCGACCGTGATCTCACTCTGGCAGCGATGCTTGGAATAATAAGCTTCATAGATATGGCGGTGAAAAATGGAGAGGGCGAATACTTGGATGATTGATGAATCATGATCCACCGGAGGAGCAAAGGAGATCGTAGCCACTTTTCCTGGTACATAGAGTGAGGGGAGGTTCATCATCTGATCTCTGAATGGAGAGTAGAGGAACAATGCGAATCCTTGAAACAAGTTGGCATGGAAATTAGAACTCAAAAGTACGGCGGGGACGTTTGCTCTGGTCTCTTGTTCTGATGCTTCTTTGCCCATGAGAAGCCAACCTTTTCGGGAATCAAACACTACTATTCTGCTGCTACGACTACCGAACTCCCTTCTTTTTATCAGTGGGTACAACTTTTGTTTCCATGGATCAAACATCATTGGACCAACCATCCCTTTCTCGCATTTCGTCCACCACGACGGCAGTTCCTTCGACTTTGATAACCTGGTATCATGGCACAGCAAAAACATCCGTGGAAGAAAATCTTGGTGTAGGGCTGGTGCCGGAGGAACGTCTCGCCAGCTCTTACACACGCTACGACAACATATTTGATCAAAATAACTCAACCGCCCGAACACGATTCTCATGATTTCCACCGGCAGCTCAATCCAATTTGGCCCTTCGCTACTGCTGCTGCAACCTCTTAGTCTTTGACATTTTCTAATGGTCCACTTCTTCCTCATTCTCCTTGATTGCTTCTTCTTCTCCTCCTTCTCCTTCTCCTGGAAGTTTAATTGAACATCCTTCCCCCAATTGTTTGACTCGCAACTATATAAACAGCAAGGAAATCCGAATCTATAAATGAAAAGGATATCCGCATCTAACAGTGCAAAGGAAATCCGGAAGGGAAACGGTAACGGGGCAAAAAGCCCTTACCTTTACATACAACAACCACGCTTCTCCGTCAGATCTCGACTCTACTTTCAAACGATGAATTCCGGTGAAGATGGTGGAATACCCGACCCGTCGGAGATATGGATCTTCTATACGCCAGTCTTCCAGACGCCTAATTTAAGCGTCGGTCGGCTTGGGACAATAGATTCGATGATAAATAATTGAGCTTTCTCCTCAGATGGATGAGATGGGAGAAACTGAGCCAAATGCTTGCAGGAGTTGAAAGTGAAACAGACAAGAGAAGAACGCCACGGCAGATAAAGAGTACAAGTGTTACTATTTATTGGCGTCGAAGGGTTTTGTTTTGTCATTGCTATTTGCTACGGCCTACGGCCCACGGAGTTTCTGACTCGCTTCGCTCCATCTGTGTTTCCCTTGTGGACGACGGTGGGGTCGGCCAAGCCCAATTGCGTAGGAACGGGGAAGCAAACCCAGTTACGAACACGAAGCCCATCGAAGGTCAAACTGTGGGCCTTACCGATTATGTTCCGCCCAATTTTTTTTTTTTTTTTTTTTCCAAGGCAAGCCCAAAGGGCATGGGACAAAGACTCGACACGATTACAAGACCGACTCAAATACTGGACGTTAGTCCGTATGCAACCAGACTATCGATGAAAGAGCCTGTAAATCCACTACTTGGGCAGCTCTGAAGAAGCTCCGAGGAGCAAAGACACGACACTGACGGGAAAAAAACACAAAAAAAACACAAAAATCCAACATCGCCAAGGTAGTCCCGCCAGCGAGTGAGTTTCCTTCGACGGAGTATACCGGACCAGTGTCGAGTTGCCACAAAAATCACAACAAAGAAAAGAAAATAACATTAGCACTCTTTCACTGAGCATGATTGATTACTCTCGCAAATTTGTTAAAGCGAAAAAATAAACTATCACCTGATAGATCGATGAAACTTATATTACTTCCTTAAGTTACTTTCATACCATATGAACACCTGCAAAAAGACCAAACAGAAATACACGGCTATATATGGTGCTAGAAATCTCTATCACAAGAGATTAAATCTTGCCTTTAAGGCAAAGTCGATACTATCGAAAATATACCACCAACGGTATTATTCACCTCTTGTAAGTATAGTATACTCACAATCAATGATAATTGTCAAAATTAGGAAAATTGAAGTCTAATTAACAAAAATAAAAAAGTAGAGTTTTCTTCAAACCCCAAACCGTTACTTACCTCATCATCAAGAATAAAACTTAAATTCATGTAAATTTGGAAGGTAAAAAGATTTATAATTAACAATTTACACCAAGGTCATAAGAATGGTGAAACACGACCGGAAAAGCAAGCATGATTAAAAAGATTCCTAGGTGAAAATAATAACTAAACCATGAATCCAATATTATTATGTTCCGCCCAATTAAACTACTTATTAATTGGGAAAAAAAAAACTACTTATTATGGCAAAAAAAATAATAATAATAAACTACTAACTTCGCATTCACACGGGAATAGATCAGGTCAGTAACGTTATGGTGAGTAACTATGAGTAACCCGCACACATCAGCATGACATCAGCATCTTCTCTCTCATGGAAAGCCTTTAATTTTCTCTTCCTTAATCTTTGACGGAAGATTTCTCACTCGTTTTAAGTCGAAATTTAATTTTTTTTGCACCGTTAGATCAGATTAATTGTGCTCTTCAAAATGATATCCACTTTGATATATTTTTCGAGCAAAAAAAAATTGAGCTATTTTTTACCAGTCTATAACATATGGTATTGACTGGTATTGAAATAAGAGCATACCTATGGTTTGAAAAGCGTACCATGGTGGTATGAACAAACCAAGACTGTAGGATGATTGAATACATGATAGTAGAAGTATATTAATTGTCATTTACGACTTTTAACATTGTATACCATAAGATACCATAAAATACCACCCAGTACCAGGGTGGTATTGTATGGTTTGAAAAGCGTACCATGGTGGTATGAACAAACCAAGACTGTAGGATGATTGAATACATGATAGTAGAAGTAAATTAATTGTCATTTACGACTTTTAACATTGTATACCATAATATACCATAAAATACCACCCCGTACCAGGGTGGTATTGTATGGTATTGTGTTCTATTTTTTTGGTCTTGTGATTTGTCCACCCAAAAATTTGTAGATCCAATAGATCATGATGAACTCGTCCCTGCTGTGCAAACATTTAAAAAACGAATGAAAAACGAAGAAGATACCATATGGTATGCAGTTGGTACCGAGAGGCCAGAATTTTTTTTTCCTCAAAAAATATTGAAAATTGATCTCATTTTGTAGAGCACGATAAACTCGTTTCATCTGTGCAAAAAAAAATTAAAATCCGAGTTAAAACGAAAAAGATATGAGTCAATTAAGAAAGCTAGTGAAAATAAAAATGACCTTTAATTCTCCATCCTTAGATCTGGATTTTCTAAATGGAGGGTCCAGATTTGGTTATTGATGGGTGCATAACCCATGGTTATGCACCCTATCTTGAGCCCATTCGCACCAGGGCAACTAGTGCGGGTACAGTTTTTTTAGTTAACCGCAAGCGAGCGGTTAGTCCGTAACCGCACACCCTATTAGGGCTGGATTTTCGGTCATATGTCGGTTATCGGTAATCGCGAAACCAGACATTCCTACTGCCTGACGGATCCCATCGGTTATCCGACAATCGACCGGTCGGGTACCGGTTAGTTGCTCGGTTAACCGAGATAACCGCAACGACACAATTGGCTCAGTTATAACCGAGTAACCAAACCGGACAACCCCCCTATACAAACAAGATCGCTAAAATTGCCTAAATTAAACGTCCAACCCTACATTTCTACATCTAAATCACTCCACAAGTCACGTTTCAATCATTTTTGCATAGAAAATAGATTTAAATCACCAAATTAATGTCTCTAATACTAGAACATAAAGTCATAAACTTCATAAAGTCACAAATTACAATAGATTCAATCCAAATAGCATAGCATCAACAAGTCACCACCAAATCATCACTTATCAACAGAAGAAGAACCAACATCTACATAACCCTTTTCTTTCAATTGCGGCAAGAGGTCATGACCAACATCGTCATATCCATCTTTCTCATACTCTTCCTCCAGTACATTTTCTTCACCCTCCTACTCATTCCCATATGGAATGTTCAGACTTGCATCTGCATTGGCAACATTGTCAACATCACTTGCACTTTCCATTCTAGACTGGAAAGTGGTATTAACTGAGTAAGAAAAAAGAAAACAAATTGTTAGAATATTCATACATTGAATTAGGTAGAAAGAAATAGTATTTGTTTACTTGAACAAACAATAATTAAAAGAGTTTTAGAACTTACCGCTTTCCAAATCCATGATCTCTTCATCATCTTCCCTATCGTCATTCTCTCCGGCCTCGGTAGTTTGATACTTTATCAAATCTTCCGCACAAATCAATGCCTCCAACATGATATCACTCAAAGAAGACCTGAATGGACTGAGAATCCGACCACCACAGCTGAAGGTTGCCTCTGAGGCAACAGAAGAGATGGGAACAGCTAGGATATCCTTAGCCATCTCAGCAAGAATCGGATATGTTCCAGAGTGTCGAGACCACCAACTCAAGATGCCAAACTTGGCATCATCACTCTCCTCATTGATGCCATCAGTTTGACATCTTAAATAGATGTCAAGCTCAGCAGAGCTACCTCCTGTATCCTGCAAAAGTGCTTCCCTTTTCCTCTTCCTGAGTCTCTCCTCGAGCTGCTTAATCCTATCACCACCAGCCGTGCTCTCACCAGTGGTAGGCTCAGATGCAGAGGAGGGTGCTTTTGATCCATACTTCCCTTTGTAGACCTCAAACAGCTGCCGCATTTCCGACCTAATACAGTTACCATTTCTACTCCCTTCACATTCCCATACATCATTGCCAAAACCTTGAACACCAAATCAAGTTTACTTATTGGATCAAGCACACATGCTATATAAATTAAGTGGTTCACCTTCATGTTCTTCTCGTTTACAATACATGACTCAAACCAATACTTGTGTACCTTTTCCTCAACCTTCTCAACCATCTTTTGGATCTCTTCATGTGGATCATTCTTCAATTGCTCAATAATGTCATATACCGTAACAAGCTTCTTGAAGAAGATATGGATAGTCACATATTTAGTTCCTGTACAATGAGAAGATAACACAGAAGATTAGAATAAAACAAATTAAATACAAATGGGCAAATGGTTAAAAATTTTAAATTGGACAATGCAATTCAGAAATTTCACTTACCGGAGACTAGAAGGGTCAAGTCATTGAAGACTTTCATATAGTCTTTCAACTTCCTAATCATCTGCCAATCTTGATTAGTTGGAAGCCCACCTCTTGCGTCAAGATAATCTCTAAGAGAATGATCGTGTGGACTTGAATACAAAGTTGTAAACATTGCATCAAAACTTTCTGCTGACTCTAGCATGGTATATGTGGAGTTCCACCTAGTCGATACATCCAAAGACACCAAGTTGGTTGACTCCACATGCAGAAATTCCATGCCATTCTTGAACCGTAACAACCTAGCTGTTGAAGACCCCTCCACTTCACACAATCCCGAACTCTGTCCACAGCACCACCAACCACTTTCAGTCCATCTTGTACCACCAGATTAATGATGTGTGCAACACATCGAAACTGCAGAAACTTCCCATCCATCAAATCACACCCCACTCCTTTAGCTTCGTTCTCATGCACTCACTGAGAACATCATTTGAAGTTGCATTGTCCATGGTCATGCAAAACAGATTCTTCACCTTCCACTCTTCAA